GAAAATAAATAAATATGATTTGGTGTGTACTAAATGAATATTTTTAAACTTAAATGCTTTAGAAAATAGTTTTGCCTATGTAGACACTATAGATGGAGAGAAAACTCCATAATTATATAATAGATTTAATTTTGTAGATACTACACAAGATACTGCCGTTGTGGGTGACCTTAAACCTTTTAAAACTTTTGACACATTATAAGCAAGATCTGTTTAAATAGATTTCAGTTTTAATTGTGAATTTTTTTTCATGTTCCAGTTTCGATTCTGATAGTCTTTTTAGGTTATGTTTTTGTTTTTAGCAATAATTTATGTTAGGTTTCAATCAGGGATTTCATGTAATTCCACTAGCTTAGTTTCTAGTGGTGTTTGTATCTTAACAAAAATTTATTTAAACGGTACATATGTTTTACCATAGAGGCAAAGTCAACGATTATTATGTATGGGGTCTATGGGCCTGTGTTTTGAGTCTTATGGTCCAAAATGATCATCCATATAAAGCGTGTTTTTGTCTAAGTAGAAGACAAAACTATAAACTACAACTTTACAACACCGGTTTAGTACTATTCCTATTACCAAACACACCTTTGGTTCGTTATAAGACCAATCCTTCTTCTATAAATATCGCATATATGAGGTTGAGTAACAAAAAAAAAAATTCTGGATCGGAGAGAGCTTCGAAGCCTGGGAAATTTTCGTGACCTCATTCGTTCTTCTCTGATCTCGAATTCTTACCAAATCCTCTCTCTTTCCCTCTCGATTTGTTGTCTTCCCCACCTAATATTATGTCGGGATAAGAAAAAAGCCCCCACTTGCGATCTCTCGTCTCCCAACCAATCTAGGGTTTCGCGAGTTCGCTTCTGAGTTTGGTTTTGTGATCGTGTGTGAGAGATGTCTCGGTGTTACCCGTTTCCACCTCCTGGTTATGTACGGAAAGAAATCGAGGATGAGTCTCTGATCGAATCGATCAAGGTTTGTTGAGCAATTTTAAAGTCCATGGCTTTGGTTTTTTTTTATTAATGTCCTAAAGTTCATGTGATTATTGAATGCTCAGCTTCCTTGGTTCACTAGTTTGGTTCCTGGTTCGATCTTTTGTGAAATTCGATTAATTGAAAGAAAGAGAAAGTGTAAATTTTGTAATGTTGATGGGAATCTAAAAATCTTACTTAAACTCAGACTAATGTATGTCAAATTGGTTCGTTTTAAGATGATAATTGAAGTAAAGTGGTGATTTTGGTAAACAACTCTTGAAATTAATGACATTAGAGTAAGTCATTGTGACAACTATGCATTGTTTGTGTTTCTTTCTCTGCTTCTTTGCCCCTCTAATGGTTCGATTAATATTGGATATGAAGATTATGGACATTAATGTTTGTTCCATTGGTTTGAATATCCAGGGGGCAAAGGAGGAAGTTAAGAAAGATAGAAAACACAAGAAGAAGGATAAAAAGAGGAAGGATAGGGATAATGAGGCGGATCGAAGCAAAAAGCACCGTCATAAAAGACGGCGAAAAGATGAAAGCGGCAATGCTGTTAAGAAGGTTGATGATCGTTGCGGATTGGTAAACAGCGAGGTCGAGTTCTTGGAGAAGAGCTGTCTTACAATGGAACTTGAGCATCAAACGTCGTCTCAGAACTCTTGTGATAGCTCTCTTCATAGCAACGATAGACCGAAGCAGGTTCAGAGTCAGCCCCTCGATGGTAGGCATAACGACTCTGGTGAGTTTGTTTGTGTTTACTTGTTGTTGGGTCTGTTTGCTTCACGTGCACACACGTTGGTGACATTGTTTCTTCAAATTTGTTGCTATGAATTTGAAGAAATCAGCAAACGGATCCGGTTACCTAGCAAAGAGCAGAAAGATCATGAGGTGATGATGACCAACAAGGATCAAAGTCACTGTTCTTCCTTGGAAAGGTTATATGCTTCTTCAGCTGTTGGTCATCTTTATTCGACTTCTGCAAATGAAGCTCCACGGGATGCTTTAAGGGTCTGTCAAGAGAAAAGAAGAGATCCAAATTTTGGTTCGTCCAGAGAAATCTCAACAAAACTCAGTAAAGAGAAGAAAACAATTTCTCTGAATGATGTCAAATCCCGAGAAACAAACAGTAGGCAACTCGGTAAAGAGAAGATGCCATCATCATCTTCATGTAGTCATCGAGAAGCAGAGAAACCGTCCTCTAGTCATCAAGAAGCCATTGGACATTCAAAGCTAGGATGTAGCAAATGCCCTCCTTCCATGGCAGTGCAGTTCTTGAATCTCATCGAGAACTGGGATCCCGACCGGGTGGAGAGCAAGCTCACAGACTCTGGAGATCAAGAATTGTGGTTATTCATGAAGTTCAGCGCCAAAAGAGATCAGCATCGCCAAGTTAAGAATCAGACAACCAGTGGGGCAAGTAGTTCGATGTCGTGGCCAACTGCTCGATTTCTTCCAGAAGCGGAAGTACACGCATTGCCATTCACCGTCCCGTTCTAATTTCATCGAATCGAAGCTGTGGTCTAGAGAGTGATTAACATGAGCAACAATTAGTTTTCCTAATGTATATTTAGATAGACTTAAAACTCGGACATATAATGTGTGATTCTTTGTAGATGTGCTACTGTTTATATAGTAAATGAAGATCAATTTTACATCAGAGATTCGGACAGTAATCTTAAAATCCTAACTTTCTTGTAGTTAGCGACTGATCAAGAAGAGCATAAGCAGACGCAATACGATTTGTCTTTTTTGTTTTTTTTGGTTTGGCTTATCGGTTTTATGGAACTAAAATTATTGGTAT